ATCCTGCAAATACACAAGAATAATTTAATATGTGATCAACCATAACAGCATCCATGGGACTACTCAAATTGCTCCCTGCAAAGGATTATGGCTGAACTGCACATGGCTGAACGTGTGTGTAGGTAACACAAAAAAAAAAAATATTTCACATACTTACCTACTGATACAGCTTTTATTGTGCCCTAGGAACTAAAGAGGGAAGCTTATAGAGACTTATTCATTCTATCAAGAGACTGAGATTTCTCAGATGATCCACGAAGTACGAAATATGAACATCTGAATTAGCCAGCAGTTCAGAAATATTGATTTTAAATTGGCTTAGATAGGCTTCAACCTGAAAAATATTAACTGTAATCTGTCTACAATAGGCTACTAATATCCTGAAATCTCTAAGTTCTTTTTTTGTGTTTGTGTGCATGCCACGGAATACACTAAATGTCCTCATCGGTTTCTCCCCCTCCTTTCCTAACCTGTAGCCAAAATCACAAACCATTCAATGAACTGCAACAGAGAAGGTAGTTGGTATTTCATTGTTAATGAGTTAGACTGTGCATGTTTAGTATCCATAGGTATTCTGTTATCACTAAAGATGTTGTGATTTTGGTGTTAGCTCTCTTGGTTTTAAGATCGTTAAGTACTGTAAACAATGTATAAGTAAAAACATTAACTACAAGGTGCTGAGAAACATTTCTAGCACACAGAAAAAATGACTGACTTCAAGTTAGAAAAAAACCTCTCTGGCATGAAACAGTGACTACTGCTCGTGGAATTTTATGAAGTGTTTTACTATCTGTCCCTTTTGCAACCACAGGAAGATAGCAATCTTTCTTAATGGGTCTTAACAGCAATACCATTTTAATGAATGTATTACATAATTACACTAATGTACACGCTGTAATTTGCTAAATGCTTTTCGACTGTACAAAGACACAGTTTTTTTCAAAAACAAAAAACAAAAAATTGGCACCCAATTGCTAATTAGCGGACTAGAAGACATATTCTTCTGACCTTCTGTCAGATTAAGTTTTCTAAACTGCTTGTACTGCATCCATCTTTCTGTGGCTCACAGTTCAGCTATTTAGCTTACCCTTTTTTTTTTCCACAGAAAAGGAATTTGTTTTCTGTGTCATAGCATTTTTCTCTTTTTAGCACTCGCACATTATATTTAAAAAAAAATGTTTATGTAATACTCTATTTGCATCTTTAATATCTTTTGTTTATTTTAAAAACCAAGAGATGCAGAAAGCATAGAAATGGCACAACAGGCCTTTATTTGTTAGGTGAAATAATGCGTGCATTCAACCAAATTTTTCCTTTTAAATTAGAAATTAGAAAGTTAAATGTATATGCTAAAATCAGCTATAACAAAAAGAGAGGAGGTGACTCTAGTGCACCAATCTCCATTTTGAACGCCCTAAATGTTCACGTAACATTTCTTAAAGTGCCTGAATTAGTTGGATACCTAAACCTTACTGAAATTGTTGTGGGACCCGTGTGTCTAGCTCTAGGAGAATACTTAGAAACTCAAGATTTTCGTATTAATTTAATTTCCAACTAGATCCTTGAGCTAGGCAAGTGATGGAGCGCAAGTGATGGAGATACATTTTTTTAAAAAATCACCAGTCACCTGGAAAACTGCTGAATTTCATAATGATCTTAGGTTAGATGTAGTGTTGATTATTTGCCTAGCACAGTATTTCATGCCGAATCACCTGTCTAATAATATTTCAATGTTAATTTCATAGTTTGCATTATTGTATAATGTTAGAACTTTCCTCAATTCATCTTGAAATGTTTGGCTTTTTGATAGGTTCACACAGGCCCACAACAAATATCACATACCTTCACATACATACAGGATACATATTCATGGAGATAAGATGTGGAAAGATCACTAATGGATAGACATGATTATATCAATCAATTTAAAAGATTTTGATTTAAAGCAATTAAATAATACTAATATAGTGTGCAAAAAAATGCAATGTAACAGTTCTTGGCATTTTTACATTAAATGTAATAAAAGAGTAGAGGCTTGATAATAAAACATTTGATCCTATGAAGACAGTGAGGAAAATTCTTACTGGGTTGCCCACGGTCTGATTCAGAAGTCATGGGAACCACACAAAGTCTGATTTTCAAAACCTAATGGAGACTTTCCATTAGCCCCAACAGACTTTGGGTCAGACTCTTAAAAGCCTATGACTGCCTACAAATGCATTGTGCCGATGCCTGGCCCACAGGCTGCTCCCCATATGCTAAAAAATAAAAATACCTCTTCATATCAAGAACGCTAGAGCTTCAAGATCTGTAAGAAATAAGAAAGTACTAGGTGATACTAAGAAACCTACTATTCTAGATGCATACACCGAGTCATAAAAAAATCACCCATGTCATTATGAGATGTCTAATGGTCATGCAAAATGCCTTCCTATTGACAACAGAGTTTTCTGACAGAAAGCGTACACACTCACTGACAACATGCCCAACAACTCATTCCCATCAGACATTTAAAAAGTGCAAGCATTGTTCTCTTCCAGGCACCCAAGCTTGTGTCCAGGGGATCATGCGGTGAAGGCAGTGGAGCCAGTAACTGTGATGAGGCTTTTGAGTGGGTAGCAACAACTCATTCCCATCAGACATTTAAAAAGTGCAAGCATTGTTCTCTTCCAGGCACCCAAGCTTGTGTCCAGGGGATCATGCAGTGAAGGCAGTGGAGCCAACTGTGATGAGGCTTTTGAGTGGGTAGTGCCTCCAGCCCTGCAGTCCACGATGGACTGAATCTTCCTTCTTAATGCATTGCATTACAGTGAAAAAAAAAGACAACAAAAAGGAAAGAGGAAGGGAAAGGGAAAAAGAAAAGCCTACCAGTTAACCCAAACGTCAGCATTTTTCTTGGATGTGCTCAGCACTGATGGAAAGCCAAGAGAAGCTGTTCAAAGGTTTTTGCGTCAGGCCATTTCTCCTCCATTAGGTATGTTCATTTTCCTCTTGTGTACCAAGTAATCACTTGGGCTTTCACTACAAAACTAGTAACAAAACTAAACGCTACAGATTATTTACAAGAGCAAACAAAAAGGACCGAAAACAAAACCGCGGGAAAGAGCTTTCAGAAGTGGAGGCTGGTATCTTGCCAGGTAAAGGTCGGAGACTAACCTAATTATATGGGAGTCTTTACAGCAGCTTTGGACGTGACCGCTTCTGTGATTCTGTTAAAGATTCAGCAAAAAGCAGAGTTGGACCATTCATTTCATTGTAGTTTCTAACAGGATTTTCTCAAACAACAGGTTTCTCTGCCAACTGTATTTGGTAACCAAGCGTAAGTGAAATCAAATGCCCTTCTTGCAGGCCACGAAAATATAGACTGAATCAGGCAAATATTAGTCTCAAGCGTCTTTCTTAAAAGAAGCTTTGGGCCTACACTCTTTGGTCTCATATCATATTAGGCACATGAGGAGATCTATTTTCATATAATTTTGTTCCTTGATTAAGAAGACATATTCAACTGCAATTTTAATCCATCCTGCTTCAGCAGCAGCTAGGGCAGAACAAAATCCTTTATTCAAGAGGGCTACAAGCTGTGCTGTTGCTTCAGACCCATCATTTCTCCCCCAAGCTGTCCCCAAGCACCTGCTGCACAGTCCTGGCTTTGCTCATGCAGACAACCGGTGGAGGGCAGGGGATGCCTGATGAGTGCATAGATCTCAAAACCTTTTTCTCCACAAAATGCTGTTTTTTCAAATAGTGTTGTTCCCATCTGTGTAACAGTTTGTACTCTGCATCTTTAAAGTAGGTATGTAAAACTGGAAAGATTTTGTAACCGGGATGAAATATCCACTACCTTTAATTGTTGCACAATTAAAATAATAATGGTAGGATTTTTTGACTAATCAAATAAAAAAGAACATTTAATTGAACATTTCATTAATGTTTCATATCAATCAGGAAATAAAATACTCTTAAATTTTTATTGCAATATTTGCTTGTGTTACTGAGAGCTCTTTAAGGCATCAACGAATGTAACAAACCCATTTATTTACAGCACGTTTGCCCTCGCTAGGACTGAAGGGTGCACAGGAAAACAGAAAATGCACTTTGGGATGTCTTAATAAAAATACATGCAAATAATTGGGAAAACAAGAACAGCAGCATGTAACAGCAGAAAACTTCTAAAAGAAGACTAAATTGTTGCTGGCGGGTTTTTCCCCTTTTTAAATAGACAGGTGAAAATTCCCCTTTAGGAAAGTGCATGCAGAGCATGCAAGGCTTTTGGAGGAAAACTATTGTACAGGCTGGTTTCCAAAAATACTGTGGCTATAAAACATAATTAGATGACAACTATGTGAATAACAAAAGTTAAAATCCCTAAGAGTAATGAGATTCATTTGGTAATTGTATGAATGCAAGATAGATGTCGCCCTTTTAATTTGTTCTCTGACCACTGAGGACGCAGCTTTATGGACAACTTTCCCAGCAGCACCTTGATCTAAGCAATGACTGCTCTGAGATCATTGGATAATTTGCTAGATTATATTTCAGATGGATTAACCCCCAAACCCAGCTCATCAGGCAGCCACAGTAAACTCATGTGTTCATACAGGGAAAATACAAGGGGAGAGAAAGTAAATAAAGGTGAAAGGACAGGTTTTCTACAGACATAAAGTACAGCTTTCTTTTCCTTTTTTTTTTTTTTAATTAGGGATGCTGAGATTCTTGTGCAGTCGCCTGATTTTTAGTGCTGGAGAGCTAAAAAACACAGCAAAGGAGCAAGACTTGCAATAACATCACGAGCAGGGGTGGCACTGAAGTGTTCAGCCTGCTCAGCTGACAATCTCCCCCAAAAATGCAATTTAACTCCTAGGAAGAAAACCTTGTTAATGCAGCCATATTGTAACCTGCCATATGGTTCAGATAATCGATTTCAAATGTGAAGTGATAGACAAGAGCCCCATTTGTCACATCTTCCCCTGCAGATATGTGAAGAAAAAACGAGGACTCACCATTATTCACCAGGACATGGAGTGGACAATTCTTTGCTCTAAACCGCTGCACAAATTGCCGTATGGACTTCATGGAAGCCAAATCACAGTATAAAAACTCCACTGGGAGAGAAGAGGAGATGAACAAAAACAGATTAAAGTCAGTTACAATGATATAAAAACACACTTATAGACATCAGCAACGACTCCTGTGATAATGTCACCAGGAAAGTAAAGATTCTAAAAATAAACCAGGCTTTTGAAAATTATGGGTGAAGCTGGTCTCAGAAGGTTCCTTCTTTCTCCTTCCTTCCTTCATTTCTATTTTTAAACTATTGATTCTTCACAGAGCAAATATGAGGAATGTTGCTGCCAGGAAGTGAAGAAGGGTATCAAACAGAGCAAATATGTCCCAGTTCTCCTGTTTTTTCCACTGCTACTATTTAGGAAGAAGGGCTACAGTTCTTCAGTGCTGAGATGATCAAGACATGGCAGCTGGAAATCAAATGGGGAGAGGAGAAGCCACATCGGGCACCACAATGTTTCCCTGTGTTTCTGATGCCAAACATGCTGCCTATGTTTTTTTCAAGATTATCTGCTGAGTATCTGTGGTCCAAACAGTGATGGAGTCTGACAACACGTTATAAAACAAAGCTTTATTGAGGCAATAGGAAAGATGAGCAACAGCGTGCCCATACGGCGACTTATCCGATCACCAATAGCAAACACGGCATCGTAAGTGATGCCATGGCTCTGGTGGGCATCCAGGGACACTTGGTGTCTGGGTCACCTGGCAGCAACAACCAGGCACGTAAATGCCTTTGAATGCCGGTAAGAGTCATGCCGCCCCTTGGCTCCAGCAATGGCAGTGTGATTTGAGGGGATCATACCTCAGCATGGATACTGTGGGCAGCATCCTGCCTACGCTGCCGATGTTGGTCAAGGGGCAGGGTGGTAGGGGGCAAGGGGCAGGGGGTCAGCAGTCTGCCTATGCCAACGATGTTGGTCAAGGGGCAGGGTGGCAGTGTCTCAAACTATATTAAACACTGATATGTTTTTATTTCCAAGAAAACATGTCTCTAACAAAAGCATCCTTTGTCCAAACCATTAGTCAGCCATTGACCTTCACTAGAACACTACAAAATTAATTAATTAAAATAAAAAAGATTACTTAAATCCCCTAATAACTTTAAACCCATCAGGTCTGAAAATTCTCCTCCTGTTGCAGTTGTTCAGCTTTCACCCCCTGACTCTCACAGCACTGCTTCAGCAATTGCCTTGCCTTGCATGACAGCCACGACCAGGGTTATGAAGTGAAAACAAGCGGTGCCCCTCCCCAACAGCAGCAGCTATCCCCACACAAACAATCCAAATTCTTTAGAAACTCTGCAAAGGGGAAAAAGAAAGAAAATTTTGACCTCATCCACCTGTTTTAGCATTTTAGAAAGTATACATATTGCATGCCAGGCTTTTGGTTTGTTTCAGCATTAGCTATGTTTCAAGCAAGAAAATGTGAGTCTCTAGCGCAGATGTTATTCTCTCTTCTGGTTTGCTACACGTCGTAGTGGGACTCCAAGTCAGCTAGATGTTGTCAACTCCACACCAGCCAGACCCAGTACACTAGGGCTCTGATGTGGATTTGCCTGAACCTCCTCCATAAAGTGAATTTTCCAAGAAAGACCAAAAGGTGTTTCAACTTTAGAAAGTCAGACAGTACTGAGCAACCTCCAGTGACTAAGTCCAGCAGAAAGAAAGGTGAAGGCTGTACAAAACACGCTCCCCTTGCTCACTGTGTCCTTGCAGGGTGAGTCCTTACTGTCCAGTTTGATTTCAACAACCTCCCAGATTTCCCAAGCTGTGGCAACCTCTGCACAGATGCACAGTCCCCAGGATGGTTTTGGCCACCACAGCTGAGGAGAGTGGGGCTCCAGGTCCTTGCTGCGTTTTCCCCGCTCCCCTCCGCCCTCCCACCTCATGGCCGGAGGGCTGCTCCCCTGTGCTCCATGGGAAGGAACAGCCACCCCCTTCCTTGCACATGGCTTTCCCCACCTCTTCCTATGAAAGAAACAGCCTTTAAAAGAAAGGAAAATAAAAGATATACAGTTCTTCACACACGCTAAAGAAAGCCTTTCTGACAAGAACATTAAACTATTGGGTAAACAGGCTCCAATGCAGGCTGCAGTAAGAGACCTTTCCTGTTACTCTTTTCCCTGGTCCATCAGTGATGTTCACCAAACTGTTTCATCCTGTCACAACTGAGGCTGTGAGCTATAATGCCTCTTTATAATGTGTCTGTACAATAAAAGTTTAGGAAGGCCTGCAGGCACAACAGCAAGCTAAATAACAAAAGACAATCACGGCTCTCATTAAAATCCTTCACAGGAGAACAGTTCCTTCAGTTCCCTTCAGTTTTACACAATACAGGGCTTTAATAATCCATATATATTTTGAACCTAGACAGTATTAGTCCTCTGAAATTGTCTTAGTGAATTTATATAAATGACTCAGTGGCCTTTACCATTTAAAAAAAAAAAAAAAGAAAGCTTATATTCCAGTTTTAAGATAGTGTAAATACATTTTTTCGAAAAGGCTGTAGAATCATACCATTTCAATGGCACTGACCCATGAATAACACTGGACAATTTCTTGACCTCCCTATAGACCTTTAGGAGGTCTGCAATTTTGATTAATTTCACTGATGTCCTACATCTGGAGGTGGTAAGGAAATGCAAAAATTACTAACTCCTGTAAAAGAAGAGAGCTGTTTAGGTCATTCCTCTTGTGGCCTAGCAGCTATATAAAACCACATGAACGGCACTGTAATTGCTCAGATGCACAAAACCTGGTTGTACTAACTTATTAGTAACCAGTGCAACAACGAATGGAGTAAAGACCTAGGCAAAGCTTTATGCTGACTCTACTGTTGCGCTACTTCTCCAGGCAGCTCATCAAGAAAAGAGATTAGGGAAAGCATGATCAGCTTCTTAGGAGGCAGCCACTCACACTGCCAGTGGAGGAGTCCCATTTAATACAAAATATTCATCTTGGTACAGAAGGCATTGGACTTTCATTAGCTGCAGTATTTTGTGGCACAGTGCAAGGTCCAACCACTTCTTCACCACCTGTATGGACTGTGGCAACATTATTGACTCTCCTGGGTTTTGCTAATGACACTGTATGTGCCAGGAAAGCAGGTCCCTGAGAACATTCACCGAGCTAATTTTTAATCTCTCCCCTCATCTGACCTCAAAATTGTCCTTTTCTGCATTGCCAACTAGAATGGTGGTTAGATAACCAGTGTGCCAAGGCAACTGCTTTTCAGGCTGACCGGTACAATCCCATCCTTCCTGGGAATTAACTTTTTGCTACGTCTGTCTGATCTCCCCTCCCTCAATTTTGTAGTTGCAGAGCAACTGCTGTCCTTCATTATGACTGTACAGTGCCCAGAGTAATGGCATACTAGGCCAAGGCTATCATTACTAGGCTTATTTACTTGCTTACTTGGGAAGTGTGTCATCATATTCATATTTGTAAAGCATTTGCCATCAAAAGATCGAACGTGCTTTGGAAAGGAAAACAAACAAACAAATCAAACCCCAAACTTCTTTTGCTCATGGGGCAGAAACATTAATGGCCAAAGTCCTTGTTCGTGCTCATTCGTGCATGATGGCTCTTTGCCAGGGAGGCAGTCTCACTGGCGCGAGTGCCGCGACGACTGAGATGCCATTCCACTCGAGAAAGAGTGCCAAAACACGGTACCAAGTCCTGTGCTGACTCAGCAGCAGGGCCATGAACAGAAACCCAGTTTCTTCTTTGTCCCATGGTCCAAGTATTTAATTTTTTTTAGCAGTGTACTGAAGAATTGCACATCTAGAAGCTAAGGACAATGGTTAGTTTTTAGAATATTTCAAAGCATGCACAAATATACTAAGAAAGCCATTTTTTTAAAATGTCTTAATTAATAAAGACCAGTATTTAATAATGTGAGCAAATGACTAAACCTGAACTTGAACTAGCAATGTGACTTGAATCGCTTTTCAGAAACAAAGATGGCAAAAGGTTTTCTGTATGGGATAGGTATGAGCAAAAAGAATAAATACGTGCAATAACAACAAGCAAACTGAAACATATGCCAAAATTAATATTTAGATATGTTACTTCTTACTTTTTTGGTTTGTCTGCCACTAGACTTGAAATTATTCAAGTACCTAATAATTGACAATAGTGGTCATTATGCTTTTGAGTTTAATAATATGTTTTCAAAACTAACTGGTTCCTTTGATTTGCTGTATGCCATTAAGAACAAAAATGAGGAATAGAATCTACATATAGAATATCTGCAGCTAATGCTACTGAAGTACTCTATTTTCTAACTCTATCCCATTTTATCACTCCTTCTCCTATACTTCCTCTTGCTTTCAGGTACTTCTAGAATGACAGACATGCCTGTATTTCTTTCTTCTAGTGGATATGTTCCTTGTTCTTACCTAAATAATCTTTCCAATAAAAGCAAGTGAGTACATAATTGTCAGGCACTGGCTAAAATATTCACTGTTAAAAATATTTTACTATTATTTTATTGTAATTTGATGATTCAGTTGTCAGAAAGTTATTAGCTAATAAAATATGAAAGGAGCATAATTTCCCAAAAGACAGCTAGAGTTACTTATGCCATTACTCACATATGAATAGATATGTATATGATGGTGCTACAATTGCTGCTTTGCCTAATTGCTTTCTTTCAAACAGGTATCTGCCTGGTGCAGCATCTTTTCAGTAACAGAGAAGTCAGTAAGATGTTTTTCAGGCTGCTCCTCAATAAGGCTGTACGAATCCCACAAAGCTATGCTGGCTGACTGCACACGACAGCACTGAGCACACGTACAGATCAGTGCCTGTTCCTGCACTGTGCACCCTCTGCTCGCTTGGTCGTGGTAACTGCAGTCAGAGGAGCTGAAGGACAGGCACCCGGTGGCTCTTGGAGGGCTTTCTGACACCGTGAGCCCCACAGCAGCCCAGAGGAGCCCCAGCATTAGGAAAGCCCGACACAGCCCCCGAGTGCGCACACTCCCCCGAGTTTCCCCCTTCGAGACAACTTCCCCATTTCTGTCTGTCTGCTTCTT